GAACAACTTTCTCATTATATGTGTAGATGTTTGTAATTCTACCGTGCAACTTATGTTGTTTATCTTATTGATGTGAATTCTTACCTCCTTTGCTTTAATGTTGTCCACCATGGACATCTTGTAGATACTCAGGAGTATAGTTGCTGTTGTGAGTGGAAAATAGTTCTTGAAGTTATTTTCATTAGTTTATCGCATTTTTAGTTGTATTACTCTGATTCTTTAAGAATGGAGGGAAAACGATGTTTCTAATATTATTATGTGTTGCTAAATGAGATTTAGGCGTTATATTCTCGGTGATTGAATTGATTGTTGATGTTGGAGGCTTTTTTTCATAATTGCTTTAATTTCAAAGAAAGTATTTTGTTGAGACTTATTAATTGAGTAGTATGCTTATTGATGATTCTTGTTGTGTTATGTTATGTTTTATTTAACCCATGTTACGGGTTCCATCGCTTTGAGGTTATTTTTATTTCAATTTAATTTCGATTTCTGTTCAAATCTTTCTATGAACTCATTTTCTTAATTCGATTGCTTTCGTTTGCTGCACATAAGATAAAATTGATTAAATTTGATTGTTGCATATTCCTAATTTTAATCGCTTGTTAACTTAGCTTCTTCGTTAGCATCACCTAATCTTTAAAATGTCATGCTTAGTGCGGTAAACAGGAACATAATTCACATGATATTGATAGCACTTGTCTAACTTATTTCATAATCGAATAGGATCAAATCCGCTTAGGGGATTGGAGTTACAATAGCCAGTGATAAGTAAGAACTGGAATCAGTAGGATTAGCCACTTTAGCTTATTTGATAATCCCTTTATGTTAATCTATTTTCTTAATCGAAACAAACCCCCTCCATAATCTCTTTGGTTGGTTAAAAATCATACAAGAATCCGTGTGATACGATTCGAGCCATTGTCGCTGACTACAATTTAAAATTACTCATTTTGATTCGTGCGCAATAGTGAATCACCCATTACGGTGAAGATGAGCGAGATGACGAAGATGGACATATTTCTAACGCCTCTGAACATCCCCAAGGCGAAGAGGAGCCAAAAAATGACAATGCTCAACCCGAGAACACAACTTATGCCAATCAACCTTTTGGGACAACTAAAGACTTCAAAGCCCCTTCAAATGATACCTCTACTACTCTTTCTCAAAAGGAATAGAGAGTTTGAAGAAAAAAACCCTTTGAGTATTTGAAGTTTATGATGAGCACAAGGGCTAGTTCAACTGATAGGGGTTCCAGCTTCTCGACTGCTTCTGGTGCTCATTCTACTATTGAACCTGTTGACCAGCTTCTCCTAAGAATCAAAGAAAAATACGTTGAGGTTAAATCGATCCAATTTCTAGAAACTAAATCCATGCCTGCTACGGGATCAAGGATCTGCTGAAGAAAGTCGACATCTTAACAAGTCTTCCAGAAATTATGGATGTTATTGTCGAACTTGGGTTTCTCATTGACCAAGTTACTGCAGATCTTCTACGTAAATGAGACGCTTCAACCAACATTGAAAACAAAATGGAAACCCAAGAAGCAGAATTGAAAGCGGCTACTAAGTCTACCACCAAGATCGAAGAACTGGAAAAAAACCTTTCGACATAGTCCAGAAGAATTCAATACTTGTACTTCCAATATCTCTACTTGGGAGGCACATATCAAAGATTTGGAAGCCAATATTCATAAGGCCAAGGAACGTCAAGAGGAAATTATGAAACTTAACTGTAACTAACTTGACAAAGAGATCCAAGTGGGTGTTCATCATGTTGAAAGGGCTCAAAGTTTGGGAGTCGAGATTGATACCCTCTCTTTCAACATATTTGTAATCGAATGTCACATGTTACTGTCCAAGGATAAATATGATCAAATGAAGGCCACTCTTCCATTTTGACTTATGTATTTTATTTGTTATATTTTCTTAACTCGTGTTTTCGACTTCTAGATTATTTTGTAACAAACAACTTAGCCATTTTGGAATTTTATTTTACCATTTTGGCTTCTACTTTGCATGTGTGTTATTCTGTTAAGATATTAACTTCTTTAAGTATAGATTTATATTTCTTTAAATATTTCCCATTTATCCTCAGGAGCCTTTTATCTTCTGCTAACTCTTCGATTTCGTAAGCATTGTTAAAAAAACCTTAACAATCTGAAATGATCCTTCTCAATTTGGTGACCACTTACTCAACGTCCTATCTTTACGATCCATGGGTATAATTACTTCCCAAACCAAACCACCAATCGAAAACGTTTTAATTTTGACCTTTTTATTGTACGCTTTCTCTACTCTCCTTTTCTGCCTTCTCAGTAATTCTAAGGAATTTAATCTTTATCCGTCTAAATCAACCAGTTCATCCAACATTATATTCGAATAAGACTCATATGGGATTTCGTTTTGTCTCTCAACTCTAATTGATTGAAGGTAGGTTTAAACTGGTAAAACTGCATCATGCCCATACGTCAATCGAAAAGGAGTAACATTTGTAGCCTATTTGTTGGCTTTTTCCCCACATGTTTTTTATTTATCCAATGACTACCTTATTTGCTGCTTCGACTTGACCATTTGCTTGGGCATAGTAAGACATAGATGTTAGAAGTTTAATCCATATTTCTTTAGCAAAATCTTGCATTTTCCAACCAGTGAGCATTGATCCTTGATAAGTCGTAGTGGTCTCAGGGATTCCAAATTTATAAATTATATACCTCTTGATAAGAGTTTACCAAATGTATGGCTTCGATCAATTTAGCAAAATAGTCAATACCTACTAAAATGTATCTCTGACCTTTAGAAGATGATGGTCGAATTTCATCAACCAGATCTAAAGCCCAACCTCCAAAGGGCCAAAGTTTTACAATGGAATGTAGTTCACTTGCAGGAACATGTTGAATACCTGCATGTATCTAGCACTTCTAGCACCCTTTAGCAAACTCAATACAATCCTTCAACATTGAAGGCCAATTCATTCCTTGTCGAAATAATAATCATTTCATTTTATGGCCAACCTGGTAATCCCCACATGCCCACTATGGAAATTCGACAAGGGCAAATATGCCTCAATCTCACTAAGACATTTGAGCAAAAATCCTTTAGGCATCTTTTTAAACAATTCATTTCCCATAAGAGTACAACTTAAAGCACGATACCTAATTTTTTGTTCTGCATATGTTGTTGGACTCTCCAAATAACCAACTATTGGATTTCTCCAATCTGTGTTTGTTAAGTTATCAATAGCCATTACTTCAAAATTTCCATCATTTGCATAACCCAACTTCGTCATTCCAAATTTGATGGAGATAACCTGGTTTCCATAACTCTTCCTCGAACTTCAATCAAATCTTCTAACTTTTATTTCGACACCTTGTATCCAAAAACAATTTGAGCCAAGTCATCAGCCTCTTGATTCTTAAGTTGAGGGATGTGTCTAATGTTTACATAGTCAAATTTTTGCCATTATAAAATACATAATCAAATTTTCTTTGCCACATTTATATTCCTTAGTCATCTAATTGACAACCAACTCGGAATCCACACTTATTTTGACTTTAGTTGCCTCCAATTCCAATAAGATTTCAAGTCCAACTATCAATGCTTCATATTTAGTCTCATTGTTTGAGCAAAGACCATTTATCCTATACTTGAATTTTGTTAGATTGTTATTAGGAGAAATTATAAAGACTTCAATTCCAGTTCCTTCTTTTTTACTAGAACCATCGAAATATAATTTCCAAGGTTCAAGGTCTACAAAGTTGTGGGGGTTTTCGACCATAACATGGTCGACTATAAAATCTGCAACTACTTACCCATAGCCTTTAGAGGTGTATAAGTTAAAGAATACTCAAACAATGCAAGTGTCCATTTTCCAATTCGACTGTGCAGGATTGAATTAGATAGCATATAATTTATTATATCAAAATGAAATGAAACATACACATCAACTGGCTGTATATATTGCTTTAATTTGGTACAAGAAAAGTACAAACACAACTTTTCAACCATGTTATATCTATTTTCTGCATCATTGAGAATCTGACTAAGATAATAAATGGCTCTTTCGACGCTATTCTCATCCTCTTGAGCAAGCATTGTCCCTATAGTTACATCAAATACATAAATGTACAATCTCATACTCTTACTTCTATAAGGAGGTGACATGACTAGAGGGCGAACGAGATACTATTTGATCCTACTGAACGCTTCTTGATGTTTCTGCTGCCATTCAAATTCTTAAAAACAATCCTTTACAATTCTAAATAGAGTTCCTAGTAAATTTGTTCCAAAACTTCTTTTGAACTATGAACGGGTAGAAAAAAATATTGGGGTTCAGTATACTTATGTTGGTAAACTTAGTATATAAACAAAACATTGTTCTAAACATTGTTCTAAACATTGTTCTAAACATTGTTCTAAATTGGATAGTGTGTTTAACATAGTCCTTATTTGCCACTCTAATCTATTGAATCTCAGTTGAAAGGCTGCCTAGTTGAAATTATTATGGCGGGAAGGCATCGGGTTTCTTGGCTCGAGATGATGACTAGCTTTCAATTACTCCTGTCATTTACAATTTTATCTGATATATGATCTATTTTCTACTTCCTACAATTTCATTATTAAACCATCCTTGCGGTAAGAAAGCATGCAACAGTGTATTTCCGTGAGAATATTCATTTAGCATGCAATATGAATCATGCATTCTAACAAGTAGTTTGTTAAGAGAATGACTCTAACCATTGATTTAAAATCAAAAGCATTTCACAACAGAACTAAAAAATGACTACATTAATCATACATCAACTATACTTTCTGTCTCATTCATTTATTTGTTTGGCCTCAGTTCATGCTCTACATTATAATTCTAATAGATTTTCAATATCTCTAATTAATAGCCATTATCACTCACTCATTATTTGCCACATCATTAAAAAACTCAACTTTAGTCGTAACTACATTAAAAGTCACAGTACATAGATAATTTGACAAGAATTAAAATTACTATCAAGAATCTTTTCCACGATAAATAACTTCGGCCTGGCTCGACGCTCTCTTGAAACGGATTAATTTTGTCATCAACTCCGGTTTGACATTTTGAGTAGGCTTCACAATCATATTTTCTAACACATGAGAATATAGAAAATATTTGATAAAATCTAATTCAAATTTGTTACCGGAGATATCCTCTATGTTAACATATTGCTATCCGAGGGGGATATCTGGCTTTGAAAAGATATCTTCACAACAGTATGAAGCGGGTGTTAAAAGGCCAGGTTGCTTCTCTATCACCTACATACATGCAATTGTTAGAAATTCATGGATCAAAGGGGAATATAGTATGGATAGAAGATATAGAGTGTTGTACCCCAAAATTTGCCCTCCCGTATTCTTCAAAATTTGCAAAGAGCATGCTTCAAAATCTCTCAAGGGTTGCACAGTTCAAGGGCCTCCTAACAGTCAAATTAGGGTTTTGGTTCTGTCAAAGAAATTGAAGTTTTCAAGGGTCCAATGAAGTCCCACATGCCTACAAACATGGTCAAGCATCCATATGCCAAGTTTCAAGACTCACAGCACAAAATTGCACAGTCAAAAACCCGAATTGCTCAACAGTCAACTGTAGGGGCAAAATGGTCATTTGACAGTCAAAAGTTCAAATTTTTGGTCAACATATTATTTTGAAGCCACAAACATCATTTGATCAATTCTTGATCATGATTCTCAAGGCATGGCTCAAAAAGTCTCAAGATGCAAAAGTTTCCATATTTGGACAGTTTAAAAAGTCAACTGCAACTTGACCAAGGCATAACTTCCACATGGTTTATCAGAAAAATTCCATCCAAATCTCATTTTGAAGAGAATGACATTTCCTAAAACTCATCTTCACACTTCAAGTCCAAGAAATGCTCTCACAAAAAGTTATCAATCTCAACATTATAGGTCATTTTCAAAAGTCAACAAAAAGGGACTTTAAGTCAAAGACCATAACTTGAGATTGGTAAATCAAAATGACATGGGACCAAAGGCATTGGTTATAGGACTTCAAGACCTTTCCAAAATGTCCAAGAACATGATCAAAGCTTAAAAATTGAGCAAGATATGCCTTGTGGAAGTTGGGAAATTTTTGGGAATTTTGAAAAGTCAACTTTGCTTCAAATACCTCAAAATTGCTAATGGGCCACATTTTCCTCCAAGAATCATCATCCAAAGGCTATGCACGACCATTTGACCCAAAGGGGATTTATTTCATCATTTTTTATTATTTATTTGAATTTTTATCACTATTAATTCATTTAATTAAATAAAATATGACAAAAATACTCAAGCATGCATTTTAAATCTTTTTATGCAGCTAATAGGTCTATCATAACTCCAAGATTTCGTGCACACTCAATTTGGAAAGATTTGGCCATGATTGATATCAAAAGGGGCATGGAAAAGATTGAAAAAGATCCATGGAAATCAAATCTCAAAAGCATTGAATGCAAAGGTTTTGGTTGAAATTTCTACCCTAATTCATTCCTCACATAAGTATAAACCTAAACCTAATGCTCAGAACCTTGAAGCTGTGCCCAAACCTGAACACACACTTTGCATTTTTGGCAAAAAAGTTCAAAACTGAAAACTGCATTACAGGGTGATTCAAAGCATACAAACGATTCAAAAAGCTTGCTGAGGTTTCCCTGGACATAACTGAATTCTTTTCCAGTCCCCACGCATCAAGAAGTGTTAGAATAAAGTCAAACTTCCTCAAACTTTTTGCATAATCGTGTCTCATAATTCATGCCATATTTTTGATTTCTAATGCTTGAATTGTACTAGTTTAATCATTCTAAAGCTAACCATGCCATTCAATTGAGTTTTTAAGGCCAGTATGTGAATCTACCATGGGAGCTCGTTAGGGTTGCAGAAGTTTGAAATTGGGGATTTGTTCATATAGAAAAATTGGACGACGAGACCTATGCCATTAGAATCAGAAGCTTCCTACGAATTAGTTCCACTAGTCGCGCTCTTTTTATGATTGCGTATGGCCTAATCGCTATTTTCATGTTCTTCATTTAGTGGGGGTTCAAAACCCCCGCTATCTATTCTGTAATTGCAGGCAAAACGATGAAGCCAGGAGGACGGAGCTTGGGTGTTGGAACGTGATTGGGCCATTCATAATTCTGGCGCGTTTTTTTGATATGTACCACTAGTTTTTGTTTTACATTATATTATTTATTTTCCATCTTATATTCCAAACGCGCTAATGGTTCAGTTGGTAGACATATGGCTTGGTAAGCACTGGGACCTGGGTTCGATCCCCAGGTCCCCCATATTTCTTTCTATTTTTTCTTGCAACGTGATTAGGTACTCAACATGTTCAGACGTCCACTAAACATCTAGCGCTGAAGCTTGCCAAATGTCCTAGAAGATGAATCTGAAGGTCAGGATGGGAGATCCAGGGAACACCCCAGTCAACGCATGTGCACACGCGCCAGGAAAGTCAACATGGGCCTGCATTCCATGGGCCAAAGTGCTTCCTATATACCTCCATAATTGGCCAGAAAACCCCCTATGGTTTGCATTTTTCCTCCTTTTTAATTCTTTTTTTTCTTTCTTTTGATTAATTATTTTATTTAATTCCATAAAGATAATTTTATAACATAAAAATATAAAAAAAATCAGAAAGTAAAAAAAACAAAATATGTTTGTTATTGTATTTAATAGCTTTTGTAAACAAATTTTATTAACTAATTTAGTTTTAATCATAGGTTTAATTTTAATGTTTTTTTTAATAAACTAAAAAATGCAGAAATTAGGGTTTTAATACTTCTATTCTTTTTTTTCTCTTACCATATTTAATTATTAATTATTTTGTAAATAAATTTATCATGTAAATAATTAATGTAAATTAGGTTACAACTTAAACTCATTTTTAATAAATTAAAAATAGTTTAGAATTAGGTTTTTTTTAATTCCAATTTAATTTTCTCATTAAACTCCATAAATACAAAAAACTCCAAAAAAATTCTTTCTTTTATTTAATATCAATTAATTTCATAATTTCAATTTAATTTCTTTAAAAGGGTCCAACGCCCTCGCTTTCGATTATAATTTCGTTTCGCACGCTTATTTTATTTCTTTTTATAAATTTCATGTAATTACCCCAAAGCCTTGTAATAGATTAATTAGGACATTTATCTTTCCGCATTTTATTTTATTCAAATCGGGTCTTGGATTAATTTGGCGATGTAGACCCGCGCCTTTGTAATAGCGTAGGACTTTTAAATTCCCGCACCTTTTAACTGCTAATAATAACATGAAAGAATGAATGCCAAAAATAAAACAAAGCGTAGATCACAAATGCATGAACAAGACAAATATAACTGAAAATGACACACAAATCACACCCACCCCTAGGGTACGTCTCACTGTTGCCTTGCCCCTCGAAAAGTGGTCGTCGAGTAGAGGACGTTTTAGTAAGTCCTCATGTCCATAAACATGGCATGAGGGTAGCTTCTAAGGTGTCTTCCTATTGCTCTGGTGATCACACCGTCCCGAACCCTCGAATTGACTCGAACACCTCCAACGGTGGTGCTACCTACCTCTCAATGGTGGGATGGCACTACTTTAAGGACATTAACACAGACGAATTCCTTAGGGTAGGTAGAGAACTCGTAGATACTCGCTCTAATTTCAAAACAAATCAAAAACTTCTTTTCACACCGACACTTTTCAAAAAAGCTTTCAAAAGCAATTTTTCAAACACTCTTGAGGACTGATACAAGAGTCGAACTGAAATTTTCAAAGAAACTTTTTCAAACCCACTCACCTTGAAAAGCAAACAAATAATTTTGAAAACACAAATAAGCAAGTATCTAAGAGCCCATGGATAACCATGGATAGAAAGGGTGCTAACACCTTCCCTTTCTATAAATCTACCTCCCGAACCGAGAGCAATCTCAAAAGGAATTTTTCTGTGCTTTTGTCCTTTCCATATTGGAGAAAATAAAAGACGGTGGCGACTCTTGCTTACCGCGACATTTCGCGAACCAGCGTTAAACAGTCAGTTCCAGATCCACCGATCACATAGAGCATATTATAAGAAACAATAATATAATTTTAAACGACATAAACTTTGACAAGAGAACAAGCACGAAGGTATCTTATAGCGCTGCACCATCGAAATTTTAAGCACAATCTCTTTAATAGACCTTCCGGTTAGATGAAGAATCCAGCGATGAATATCAACCAGAGAGTTCACACCCATGATATTATAACCGGAGTTGGAGAGCTTGAACTTGTTGATTGGGCCAGAGTGAAGTAAAAGTACATGATCAATCATCCTCAAAAGCTTGCGCCGTATAATTGAAAGGTCTTCCAGAGCCAAAGTAGATACAATTCGTTTATCGAACACAAGATCTGGTTGTGTGGACCATTTCTTCCCCCATTTGCGGGATAAAACGCTAGTTCTCCCTGCCTCCTTAATTGACAAATATGAGAGAATCTTGTCTATAAGTTGATCCGGCAAGCAACTAATTCTATCAGACTCTATGTCCGTCATTTTTAGGCGGGTAGCTTTCACTGATTTTATGTACATACAAGAATCAGAAAACATATTAGGTATTTATGTATGCATGTAATAATCATAGTCATGTCCAATAAAAGAGAATTTTAAAAGATCACATTATATTATAAAATAATACAAAGATAATTTATGTTTTGCAAATCCAGATGAAACCCAGATAAACAACTCATTCATGAAATTGAATGGAATGCATAATATATCATTCATGCAAGATTCAAGAAGTAATACATGATCTATGAAAGTGATTCAACGACAAACAAAAAATTAATCAATTAAGAAATGATGAATTGCATTGAATATTGATTTGGGAATGAAAGAACTCACCAAAGTAAAAGGGTTAGGGACTCATGAGGTAAAAAATGTCACGTAACACTTTTATGCTTTTTGATAGTATGTGTTTTTCAATATTTATTTTGTATTTATAATAATAGAACAAACACATATTCACGATGATTTTTTAATCCATTTTAATAAATGAATTTGATGGTCAATTTGAAATTCATATTAATTTTTAAGAATTCTAACTTGACATATCACACAACAATGATCAACTAGAATCACGATTTAGTTAGGTATTAACTAACTTGCTTATATCACTTATTATATACATAGTTTGGTTACTCTACTATAAAGCTTTTTGAATATGGAAAATAGTAGTTAATAGTTATTTAGATGATACACTATTATATATTATCACTCATACGGGGTGGAAAAATGTCTGTTTTACTCGCACTTTAGTTTGGGGCAAACTAAGAATTTAGACCCTCACTCTTTAACGTGACCGTCTAGTTTTGTTTTGTTTTGTTTTTTTTTTTTTGCGGGTTTTTGCAGGGACGAACATTAACATAAAATTTTACATTTTTAGGCTTAAAATGTGTAGTGTCCGCGAGCTTTCTCTGTCCCACACTCTTTTTTTTGCTGGGCGGACCTAGATTTTAGGCAGTCATATTCACCTATGCCAGCCCCGTCCCGCCCCATTTTTTGCAGGCTTTTGCGGAACGGGACTTAATGGGGGTGGGCATGCCCGTTTGCCACCCCTAACCACTCTCATGTTAGTTATCAGAGTGCTTCATCATTATATAAATAAGAAGGTGTAATCTCAATTTCACTTCAATAAAGAATTTTCTACGATTTATATTATGGTATCTTAAGCCATCATGAAGAAGTTTCACCTTGAATCTTCTTCTTCTTTCAATTTTGTTAGTGTTTGTTGGCAGCAATTTTGGTAAAACAATGCTTTGGTAATGTTTTTCTTAATGTCTTTACATTTGAAGTAAAACATCTCAACTGTTTTTGAATAATTTCAAAGCAGATGTCTTGACATCTGCCTACTGATTTGAACGTGCTTTCAGATTTTTTTGTTTCCTGTTTTTAAGCGCGCCTTATTCAGGATTTGTGGTTTCTGACTTGCGAAAAATATGGAGGAATATTTTTCGATCTGTCTTATCCTTTTTTGAATTATATCTTGGTCTATTTTCATGAAGATATTCAAGGGATTCAATTTATTGGAATATTTGTTTTTCAGCCCAAGCCCGCCGATGCGCCTTTATAAGGACTTGCATCCTTATTCGTATAACTGTAACTTTTGAAGAAAAACATACTTTGTGCTTTTTAGAAGTCTAAGTCTTTTAATTGTAATACACTCTAGTATTACTTTAATACTTGAGTTGTAATTTGTTAATTGAGTTGTTAATTGTGGGTCATTCATAAGCTTTTAAGCATTGAATGATTGAGGTTTTTAAAACTTAATATTTCTGTTGTTTTTCACTGTTAGTGATTGAAGGGATTTGAGGAGGGTCTCATACCTAGGCGTGTCTTAGGTAGAAGTATAGTTTTGTACCCCAAAATTTTCCCTCCCATATTCTTCAAGATTTGCAAAGAACAAGCTTCAAAATCTCCCCAAGGGTTGCACAGTTCAAGGGCCTCCTAACAGTCAAAAAACTAGGGTTTTGGTTCTGACAAAGAAAATGAAGTTTCCAAGGGTCCAATCAAGTCCCACATGCCTACAAATATGGTCAAGCATCCACATGCCAAGTTTCAAGACGTACAGCACAAAATTGCACAGTCAAAAACCCTAATTGCACTACAGTCAACTGTAGGGGCAAAATGGTCATTTGACAGTCAAAAGTTCAAATTTTTGGTCAACATCTCATTTTGAAGCCACAAACATCATTTTATCAATGCTTGATCATGATTCTCAAAGCTTGGCTCAAAAAGTCTCAAGATGCAAAAGTTTCCATATTTGGACAGTTGAAAAAGTCAACTGTAACTTGACCAAAGCATAACTTCCACATGGTTTATCAGAAAAATTCCATCTAAAGCTCATTTTGAAGAGAAAGACATTTCCTACAACTCCTCTTCACACTTCAAATCCAATAAATGCTCTCACAAAAAGTTATCAATTTCAACATTATAGGTCATTTTCAAAAGTCAACAAAAAGGGACTTTAAGTCAAAGGCCATAACTTGAGATTGGTAAATCAAAATGACATGGGACCAAAGACATTGGTTAGAGGACTCAAAGACCTTTCCAAAATGTCAAAGAACATGAGCAAAGCTTAAAAATTGAGTAAGATATGCCTTGTGGAAGTTGGGGAATGTGTGGATATTTTGAAAAGTCAACTTTGCTTCAAATGCCTTAAAATTGCTAATGGGCCTCTTTTTCTTCCAAGATTCATCATCCAAGGCATGTGCACGACCATTTGGCCCAAAGGGAAGTTTTTCATCATTTTTATTTATTTATTTGAATTTTTAATTGCTAATAATTCATTTAATTAATTAAAATATATGAAAAATACCAAACCTAAGTTTTTAAATCTTTTTATGCATAAAATACACTCAATATTTCGTGCATGATCAGATTTGGAAAGAATCAAGGTAATTGAACATGATTTGTATCAAATTTGCATGAAAAAAGATTTGAAAAGATTAGGAAAAATCACAAAATCAAAAGCATTGATTCCATGGATATTTGGCTTATTTTGTTGACCTAAAACACTCACACATATATACTCATGCAAACCCTAGTGTTCAAAACCTCTAAGCTGCACAAGAACCCCATAATCAAGTTGGCATTTTTTCAAGAAAACTCAAATACTGAAAACCACCTTCCAGTGCGATTCAAGGCAAAATAATCCTTCTATTGTGTTCCTGAAGCTTCAAGGGACGTGTCTGAATCAAAAACATCATCCCTAACATCAAGAATTGGTAATTAAAAGTCAGACTGTGTCCTTCTTTTTGCATAATCGTGTTTTATTATTCAGGCCATATCCATGCATTTTGATTCTTGATTTGTACTAATGAGTTGATTCTGAAGCTAGCAGTATGATTTAATTGAAGAATCATTGCCCATATGCGATTTCACCATGAACGATTATTAGGGTTCTTCAAGTTTTAAATTGGGCGTTTATGCAGATGGTAAAATTAGGACACCTCAATGCCATGGTTGAAATCAGGAAGCTTAGACGATTCTAATACACCACTCGCGCCTAATTTATATAACCATATGGCCTAATCGCTATTTTGGAAAAGAGTGTATTTTGGGGGGGTTTAAAACCCCCGCTAACCCTTTTTATGTTTCAGGAAAAAGCAAAACAAGGAAGACGAAGACTAGGTGGTGAAGCGTGATAGGTTAATTTGAAATCAACGCGCGCTTTTTGTTATTTTTACATCACTGACCACTTTTCTCTTATAATAATTGTTTGCCATTATATAATCAAAACGCGTGAAGAGCTCCAGTGGCAAGGCTTGGTATTGGTAACCTCTAGGACCTGGGTTCGAACCCCAGGTCCCCTTCCTATTTCCATATTTTTCTTCTAATCATGATCCCATGCAGTTTGCTCCTTGAAGACCACTATGCAACCTCATAATCTGCCATGCCACACGTCCCACTGCATCCATTCTATGGCCAGAATTCAAAGCATATGATGGGCGTCAGTCAACGTCCACACACGTGAATACTGGAAAGTCAACCAGGCCAAAGGCTATTGGGCCTGAATTGCTAAGTTATACCTCCAAATTGGGGACAGAACCCCCCATGGTTTGTTTTATTCTTTTTTTTCTTCATATTTTGCTATTTTATTTGTTTTTGTTTAATGTTCATTTAACTTTGAATTAATATTTTCATAAAAATAAAAAAAATGATAAAAATCAGAAAAGGACAAAAATAAATATATTTTAGTTAAATGTTATTTTGTAAATAAATTATATCATTTAATTTAGTTTTCAAATCTAGGGTTAATTTCAATATCTTTTCTTAATAAATTAAAATTTGTAGAATTAGGTTAATTACTTTTATCTTTTCCTTTCTTTTCTCATTATTAATTATTAATTATTATATTTTTGTAAATAAAAATTTGAATTAATTAATTAGGTTAATTTTATGTGCAACTTTAACATATTTTCTTAATAAATAAAAATTGTAGAATTAGGGTTAATTAATATTTTAATTTCATTTAATTCCCATAAAAATTCATAAATACAAAAACTCAAAAAAATCTTTTTTCTTTTTATTTTATTTTAATTAATTTGTTAATATAATTTAATTTCTTTAAAAAGGGTCCAACGCCCTCGCTTTCAATTTTAATTCCACTCGCGCATTTATTTCCTTTCTTATATTTTTTAATGTAATTCTCCCAAAGCCGTGTAAATTGGACGTTCTTACCTCTCGCACTTTATTTCTTTATTTTATGTCAAATCGGGTCCTGGATTAAATTTGGCGATGTGGACCCGCGCCTTTGTAATAGTTTAGGAACTTTATATTTCTCGCAACTTTTTAACTGTTAATAATTGCATGCAAGAATGAATGTTAAAATAAAAACAAAAGCGTAGATCACCCATGACATGAACAAGACAAAATATCTGAAAACGACACACAAATCACACACCACCCTTAGGGTACGCCTCACTGTTGCCTTGCCTCGAAAGGTGATCGTCGAGTAGAGGATGTCTTAGTAAGTCCTCATGATCCGGGAACCTGGCATGAGGGTAGCTTCTAAGGTATCTTCCCATTGC